CTAACCATCTCTCCACCGCCTAAGCCTAGAGAGCTCGAATAGAAAATGAAACAAACTAAAAAAAGACAACACAAGAGACCAACAACAACTAAAACTATAACAGAAATCAAACAAAGAAAGAAAAAAACACAATCAGAAGATCTAGGTAAGCTGAGCAAACTCCAACCATTGCCTGTGGGTTGTATTGACAATTTGAGGAGCTGATAAAGCTGTGTTTGAAAAATCCAAAGGTTGCGCGCTTTCCAAATTAAAGCCACCACAACATACAGTTGGATCCTGGACTCAACTACATCAGATTTATTGAGAGAACACAAATTAGACCACCAACACCTGAAAGATGAAGTGAAAGATTTCAATCCATCCCATTGCACTGGAGCAATGTCCCACACTCTGCAGGCTTTAGGGCCTTTAAACAAGATATGTTCCACAGTTTCAGCTTCACAACCACAAGTTTGGCATATTGAATCAATGACTAAACCTTTCTTCACCAAGTCGAGTTTCACATGAAAAGTGTCAGTAAGACATTTCTACAGGAAATATTTTATCTTACCAATCATTTTCAGTTTCCAATAGGAGGGCCATTTCTAGAGAGCTTCACAACCAATAGTTGTCCAGAATTGATAGAAGAAGATACCAGAGCAGATAACAACTCAACAACAATGATAAGAGGACAGAGGGTCCCCTGGTCTAATGCCTCTAGAAGGATGGATATACCCAATGACAACACCATTTACTTTGAAAGAATAGGAACAAGATGTAATGCAAATCATAATTAGATTTACAAAAGCAGCTGAAAATCCCATCTGTAGCATTATCTTCTTCACACAGATCCATGGTCAAAGGCTTTCACCAAATCCAATTTAATAGCCATAAAATGATTTTTGCCTGAATTGTGTCTGTTAATGAAAAGGCTTCCTGTGCAATAATTACATTGTATAGAAGCTGCCTACCATTAATAAAAGTAGACTGGAAATCACTGATGCAAGTTTGCAGGCAAGATTTGAGTCTTAGGGCCAACAATTTGGAAACCACTTTGTAAACCACAGAGCAAAGACTAATGAGTCTGAATTGAGTAATATAATCAAGATTGGGATACTTAGGTATTAGAGTCACAATGGTGTGATTCCAATATTTCAGCAAAAGGCCAGTTTCAAAAAAACTTTTGACAGGATATATAAGATCAGACTTAATAAGATGCTAGAATTACTGTTAAAATAATGCAGTCATACTATCTTCTCCAGGAGATTTTTCAGCATCAAGACCAAATAAAGCAACTTTAATTTCTTCCTCCTGCATTGGTTTGAGAAGATCCTGATTCATGTCTTGGGAAATTGAAGGCTGAACCAGATGAAGAATGTTATCCCCACCCTAACCAAGATCCTTGTGAAGAGAAAAGATCAGCATAGAAGCTAATGATGTGGTCTTGAATCTCTTGTTGAGAATAGCTTTCTCTGTTTTGAGAGGTGAGTAATCTGGTAATTGCATCTTGCCTTCTCCTCTGAAGAGTGTAAGCATGAAAGAATCTGGAGTTGCTATCACCTTCCTTCAACCATTTGATTGCTGACAGTACAATTCTTCTATGTGTTGAGCTTCATCAAGTACAGTTTTGGTTGAAATCCAGTCATTCCAGTTGCTAGCAAGGTTGGCATTCCACAGAAGCTCAAGTTTATAAGTCAGGTGCTCATTTTTTTATTGATTATCTGTCTTGAACTTGGCACTCCACCTGATGAGAGCTAGCCTTGTGTGCTTAACCTTCTCTTTCAGCTGAAAGAAAGGGGTGCCTGATAGATTTTGATTCCAGGCTGCCTTCACCACTTCAGTGATATCTTTCTTTAGAAGCCAACGTTTATCAAAGTGAAATCGACAGGGAGGTTTCTGAGTATGTGCACCTGTGTTGAGAGGAAGCAATGAGTGATCTGAGGCACTGCGAGTGGCTGTGGTGATTGAGGCATTTGGGATTTGTTGAAGCCAATCCATAGACTCGGACCCTCTATCTAGTTTTTCTTGAATGAGGCCCTCTGAAATTCGATGATTGCACCAAGTAAATTTAAAGCAGTCATTCTGATTTCTTCCATGGACATTGAATTGATTAAGTCCCTGAAGCCAGCCAAACTTCTATCGCTCCTAGAAGAGCCCCCAATTTTGTCAAAATTAGAACATATATCGTTCCAATCCAATGAACCATTTGTGGATTAACTGGTCCAAGCGACTTCTTTACACATATCATGAAGAGAAATTTGCATCTATGTGATTATGAAAATATTGAAATTATACCATGCAGCTATAATTAATTATGTCTTTACCTAAAAGATAATATTTAATTGAAATAATGCTTAGATTCAGTTACTATTTAATGCTAACCTCTCCTTATCTAATGTGTGATTTTCGTTCTGGTTACTAGAAAAAAGGGAAAAAATCTTGCAGATAAACGGTGGTGAATGGATTACGGGAATCGTTTTTTGCGAGGTGGTAGAAACTGCAACGTATATCGAAAATATACTGAATATAAACCCTAATCACATTTTAACTGTCGAGAGTTCCATAATAACAGTTATGATTGTTTGGACTATGTATATAAACCATACATATATTTAAAAAAAAAATCAAAATCAGTTTATTATTGTTTTAAATCAATTTTTGAATATATTTTAGTATATGCTGAGTTTACATGTTGTTTATTTTACTTTTATGCGTTGTAAACAATTTTACTAGAAAAATAAACCATACATATACACCACAAAACCATTAAAAAAAAAAAACATAAAAGTATATATATTGTTTATAAACATATTATAACAAGTTACTTATATTCATTTAATGTCTTAAATGGACAGTATATATTGAGTTTATGTATAGTATATACTGCTTATATATACAATATATACCGAGCATATACTCCCTATACACACCACACATATTGTTTGCCTATACACGTAACATATATTGTTGTGAACATATACTGCATGCCTATACAAGCAACATATACTGCATAAAAATATATTGTACATATAGTGTAGATATACTATACATTTACTAAAAAAAGGATCAAGGGTTAGGTTCTCAACCAAAAATCCTTCACCAATCCCGATCGACAATTCTAGGGATTTAGAACTGAAGCCATTGAGACGCGTTGTCAATAAGAAATTTGGAAACATAAGATGTTCAAATCTGAATCTGCAAGAAAGGAAAAAAACAATACTCTTCACCGTCACCAACGAAATACAAACTGAAATCAACGCTGAAAAAGCACAAACTTGGAAACAATCAATCACAAATACACACACAGAGAGACAAACACACACACACACACACACACACACGTCGATCCCATCAAATTCTATCTTAAAGAAATTAAAGAAACAGATCAATCAAACTTTTCAAATCAATAATCCATAAAGCAACTAAAAATCAACAAAAAGAGTGAGAGACAATGAAACAAACAGATTTATCTTGCAGAATGTTTGACCCTTTTACGCATTGCCATTGATTAACAGAAACGCCATGGGCAAAGAGCCCACTTCAAAATTGCAATTCGAAGTTCACAAGATGCCGACTTATGTGTATTTCTGATGTTTGCCAGGCAAGTGGCGAAGAGATTTTTGTCATCACCCTCAAAATGTTTGCCACGCAGGGCACGCACAAAGCTCATACTGAGATCAAATTTGTGGCGTCAACAGATGGGCCCAACGATCAAGAGGGTCTTTTTTGCAGAAAGATGGGTGAACATGGTGATGGGGTGGTTTTGCAGAGATGATAGTAGAGAGAGAGAGAGAGAGAGAGAGAGAGAGAGAGAGAGAGACAGAGAGAGAGAGAGATTTGGTATGATATATTTGAATTAACTAATTAACCCAATTGCATTTAATTTGCCTTGATAATTGCTTAATAATGGTTACATGGGCAGCATTCAGAATCTTAGCTATAAGTGTAAATATTTTATGAATAAGATTATAATTGGTGTATATGTGTAATATATATCATAATTGATATTAAGGGATGTAAATTCCTCTATCATGAATAAGTTACAGAGCTCAACAATGGATCACACCAGAATTCACACAACAATTTACAAAATACAAAGATAAGAAATAAAATTCCCTAGTGAGGAGATTGAAACACCCTCAAAATGAGGGACATAATCAACTCGGAGATAGCACCGAGAGTAATCCAACCACGCTACACGTTATTTGGCACGAACAACCATTTCCACTACAGTCCAATATTAACTGGGATGTATAAAAGTAGAAGTACCTCAACAAGCAACAATACAGATGGTATAACTAGATGGTATAAAAAAAATATGAAATACATAAAGAGAACACTAAGCACACCTACAATACAAAATAAATATAAAATCTCCACACTTCTAACAATCTCGCAGTTCCTACTACCCAACCCTAACACATAAGCCAGCTTTGAATCCAAAGACAAAAAAGAGGCACAAATCCAAAGCCCCTAGACCTATAAATTCCACTCCAAAACCTGAACGACTATGCAGATCTGACAAGAAGACAAAACGTGAGCCTATATCTGAGCCCCAAAAGAGTTTTTAGAAAAGAGAGAGAAATGAAGGCAAAAGCCACCTTCCATGCCAGATAGGTCGGCAAAACTGCCGTCGCTGGCTCCCGCGGGAAGAACCGACAAGGCACCCAGGTGAGGAGAAGATGGGGGCAACATATTTTTATTTTTTCTTTCCCTAATCTCCGAGAGAGAGAGAGAGAGAGAGAGAGAGAGAGAGAGAGAGAGAGAGAGAGAGAGAGAGAG